AAGAGAAGGGGAAAGGTGGGCATGAGGGAGCAGGAAGATTGGGTCAGGGAAAGAATAGAGGAGCAAGAAAAGATACTGTAATAGAGGGAGCCACTATGTTTTAAGTGAAATATGGCACTAGGGAAATGTCCAGAGACCTAAAAGGTTAACCCATATAACAATCTAATCAATGCTGGAGAGTCTACCTTAAATACCCTTCCCTGATAATGAGATTGATGACTACCTTATATGCCATCCTAGAGCCTTCATCTAGTAGGTGATGGAAGCAGAAGCAGATACCCACAGCTAAACACTAAGCTGAACTCCTGGAATCCAGTTGCAGAAAGGAAGGAGTGATGAGAAAAGGGGCCAAGACCAGGCTGGAGAAACCCACAGAAACTGGTGACCTAAACAAGGGAGCTCATGGACTCTAGTCTGATAGCTGGGAAATCAGCATAAGACCAACCCAGGCACTCTCAATGTTGGTGTTAGTTAGGAGGACTAGGCAGCCTATGGGGCCTCTGGTAGTGGATCAGTGTTTATCCCTAATATACAAATGGACTTTGGGAGCCCATCCCTCATATAGGGATACTCTCTCAGTATATACTCTCAGCCTAGACATATGGGGGAGGGCCTAGGCCCTGCTGCAAATGATATGACAGACTTTGAAGATTCCCTATGGGTGGCATCATATTCCCTGGGGAGCAGAAAGGGGATGAGATAGGGGTTGGGGGGATTGACAGGGGAGGATGGGAGGGTGGGGTAACTGGGATTGATATGAAAAACAAGCTTGTTTCAAATTTAAAAAAATATCAAAGAAATCAAAAAAAGAAAAAAAAAAGAAAGAAAAAAAGAAAGAAAGAAAGAAAGAAAAGTGAGAAGGGTCAGAATAATGGAGATGAATCTCCTCTTCCCTCTTCCTTCTTTAGGGGAAGCAGATTTAGAGCTGTGCAAGTTTGAAACACCAAGCTACACAGCTGCAAGAATTAAGGATACAAATGGACAGAATCCAGAGACAAAGAATAATAGAAATTAAAATATGAGTATTCCCGGCAGAAAAGAGGGAAAGAAAGGACATTTAAAAATTCCTGGTTAAAAAAAAAAAGGGGGGGGGGAAGTGTTTAATCAAGAAAAAAGGATTTTCCCAGAAGAAGGGAAGGAAATTGTTTAATCAAAGCCTACACATACAAGAAATGAAATGAAAAATAAAAGGAGAAAATGTGTCTTCCCAGTAGAAATTGGGAAGAAGGAGAAAGGCCTTTTCTGATAGAATAAAAGGAATTCATGTCTGCTGGGTCTTAGTGTTCTTTGACTGTCTGATACCTGTCAGTGTTTTCTCCTAAGGGCCAGCAAGAGCAGAGAGCCAACACCTGAGTGCCAAAGAATGACGGTGGAGCTCCATTGCCACAGTCTGAGCTAGCACAGCTGGCCCAGAATTTAGAATGTTCTTGTTTATTTGTTTGCTGTTAAAATGTTATAATGGAAAATCCTTCCCCAGGGAATGCTAAATAGCCCAACATGATATACCAATATTTTATAAATAAATCACTGGAAGTAATTCATTAACAATTTCCTCAATCCAATATTTATCATTATGTTGCCAGATATTTGATCACACTGTGAACCCTGAGATTTTGTTTATTAAATAAAATCAATCTCGGGGTAAACTTGAGATTTAGTTTAAAAAACAACATCATTATATGGATACTGTCTTAATAGCTGCTTCTGATTTTAATATCCTTGAAAAAGTGTTTGCTGAGGAGCAACAGACTTTATATCAATGGGGATTATAAATTGTTCCTGAAAAAATTCATAGAGGAGACTTCTTAATTATTTTGGATTCAAATAAAGTAAACAGAGGATCCAGCCACAAAAATACAGATTAGAAGAGATGAATTACACATGCTTAATAATTTTCAAAATATATTGGAATATATAAGTTAGTTGTAGCCTAATTTGGACTGACTACTCAAGAATTAAGAAATTTCTTTCAAATTTTACAAAGTGACTCACATTTAAACAGTCCCACAAATTTAACAACTGAAGCAGAAAAGGAGTTGGTCCAAGTTGACCAGAAATGGTATGATGTCTACGAAGATCAACTAGATCTTACAAATGGAATGTATTTTTAATAATTTTTGCTTCTAGTCATTCAGTATTCAAAGGGAAAAGAATATTCTTGAATATTTTTAATCCACAAACAGAATGAAAAGTTGAAAAACTATGTAGAAAATATTTCTGAAGACCCACCTGCACCCACTGGGAGAGGTGAGTGTGGGGCCTTCTCCAGCCCATCTTCCCTTCCCCCTCCTTGGAGTCTCCTGACATGGGGACTTCATGCAGTCACCTTCCACCCACCAAATCCCCCAGATAAATGGGCACAGACCAAACTATCCAGCATCTGCCACCATTGGAGTCTTGGACCTGCCTACACTCACCAGGAGAGAGCCTTGACTGAACCTGTACCCACTGGGAGAGGGAGAGACTCTACCTGAACCTACTGGAAGAAGTGATGGGAAGATGACAGACAGTATAAGAACATATTCAACAACAAAAAGACTAATATAACACCACCACAGTCTAGGGACTCTACACCTGCAAGAAATGAACATCCCAAAGCAGATGAAGCAGAAGAGAAGGACCTTAAAACAACTTTATGAAGATAATGGAGATCCTCAAAGAGGAAATGAGAAGACCCCTTAAAGAAATAGAAGTAAAACCAAACAAAAAATGCAAGAAATGGAGGAAATGACACATGAAAAAAATGCAAGAAATAAACAAATCTCTTAAAGAAAGCAAGGAAAGCCAAGAAAAAAAAACAATCAAACAGGTGAAGGAAATAGAGAAGGATATCTCCCTTCTGTATATTTGTTTCTCTTATTGGTTGATGAACAAAACACCGTTCACCAATAAGGCAGGAAAATAGGTGGGACTGAGAGATGAGGAGGATTCTGGGAAAGGTAAGCAGAGGGAGCTTGCCAGAACAGCCACCATGTAGGATCCTAAAGGAGTAACAGGTCCAGGCATTTTCTGGTAAGCCAAGACCATGTGGAAATACATAGATTGCTAGTTATGGGCTAATAATTAAGACAGAGTTAGCCAATAAGAAGCCATAGCAACCAGCCAAAAGTTTTATGATTAATATAGCATTCATATGTTTATTTAGGGCTGAAGCAATTGCAGTGGGACCTGGTGGGACAAGAAACCATGGCTACAACATACATCCTCCATCAGGGATAATTAACTTAGATGTGATTTACATAATGTCAATTATCAGTTTGATAATTCTTGTTTTATCCCTACAAAAAGTTGGTTGGTGTGAGTACCACCAAGTTGGTTGATATGAGGGCCACGATACAGGCCTTAGAAAAAGTTACTAGAGAAAATGTTGCTGTTGTGACTGATAAGTTACAAACCTTAGAAAAACTTACTAAAATAGATAATAGAAATATTCAGACAAGGACAGAGGAGTTTAAAGGGGAACACACCACACCATTACATTATAAAATTAGAGAAGAAGAGCCCAAGGTTGTCAAATAACCAACTTAATTCATCCAGTCACCGTATGGGACCAATGCCGAATGGCAGGTATCCCCACGGCTATGTAGGAGCAGACTGGATTCCTGTGAAAATGTTAGATATGAGGAAATTTAAAGAAGTGATAGTCTCATAACTTATGCATTCACTTTTGTGAAGAAGATGTTAAATTCATGGTCAAATAGTAAGAGAATTATCCCACAAAACTAGAAAGACTTGGTTACAGCATATTGGAACCTGGTCCTCAGTTGCAGTGGAGGAACTGGTAGAAAGATGAGGCTAGGACCATTGAACATTAGAATAGGGCTAGAGGTACTGAAATTTCCCAAGACCAACTTCTTGGAGAGGGAGAGTATGTTAACATACTAAGACAGTTTCTGTATGATGACCATACCTTGCCTCTTAACCAGGCAGCTTAGGATAGAATTGAAATTTGAAAAGAGAACTGAGTCATTTGTTGAAGTTATACAGGAAACAAAAACAAAAACAAAACAACAACAACAACAAAAGAAATGGAAGAAAAAACAAACAAAAAATTGGAAGAAATAGGGGAAAAGAATAAGCAAAAATGCAAGAAATGAACAAATCTCTTAAAGAAAGTAAGGAAAGCCAAGAAAAAACAATCACATAGATGAAGGAAACAATTCAAACAGTTCAAGACCTTAAAACTGAAATAGAGACAATAAAATACAAACTGAGGGAATGCTGGAAATAGAAAAACTGGGTAAATGATCAGGAACTACAGATGCAAGCATAACCAACAGAATACAAAAAAAAAAAAAAAAAAGAAAAGAAAAGAAAAGAAAAAAAATTGAAGAAAGAATCTCAGGCACTGAAGATAAATTAGAGGAAATACATTCATCCACCAAAGAAAATCTTAAATCCAACAAATCCTTAACACAAATCATCCAGGAAATGTGGGATACCATGAAAAGGCCAAATATAAGAATCATAGGCATAGAAGAAAATGAAAAAGCCCAGCTCAAAGTTGCAGGAAGCATATTCAACAAAATCATTAAAGAAAACTTTCCCAATCTGAAGAAAGACATGCCTGTGAAAGTATGAAGCTTACAGAACACCATATAGAATGGACCAAAGGGGGGGGAGGGAAAGTCCCCTCACCACATAATAATCAAAACACCTAACATTCAAAATAAAGAAAGAATATTAAGGGCAGTGAAGGAAAAAGGCCAGGTAACATATAAAAGCAGACCTATCAAAATTACACCCGACTTCTCCATGGAAACTCTCAATGCCAGAAGGTCCTGGATAGAGTTCATAGAACATAAAAGCTTATCAGAAATCCTCAGTATGTAATGTTCTCCAGAGAATAAGACCTGTAATCCGTTGCACTAATGACACATGGCTTCACCTTTACAACAGAGAGGTGCATTACGACAATGCTGGGCAGGCATTGTCGTTGTACAAGTGGATCATATCCTCCTAAAAAGAGTTGGCTCCATGGAACTCTCCAGAATACTCACCCCCAAATTTTTCCATACTTTTCATGGCACTCAATATCAAATTTCCATATACCCTAGAGAGAGAAATAGTAGGAAACCCATCATTATCCTGTATATACCAACCCTTTTATAGCCAGGGAACGAAACCCACAAATCCTACAAATTGAGGTTTACTGTTTCTAACAGAGAAAACTTCTTCAGTAATGTTGAGTGTCACCAGCATGATGGCTCAGTGAGAAAAGGCAGAGTGATAGAGGAGGACACCTGACCCCTTCCTGTGACCTCTGCATACACAGTGATGGACACGTGTACTGCACCAGATACACACAGCACACACACGATGATGATGATGAATTGTTTTAAAGAATGTGTGAGGTAAGCACAGGAACTCTGGGGGGGAAAAACTCGATTGATTTCAACACAAGCTTTGCCATTCACCCTCAGGATGTGAGCATGGGAATGTCTGCAGTGGACTGATCCTGGACCATGGGTCAAAACAGGTTTAACAAATGGTTCACCTAGATTTAAATGTGGCATATTACATGCTCATCCCTGAAGTCTCTAGTAATTTTATTAAATCATCCTTTTCCTAGTGATTCTGCCTTTACTGAATCTTGAAAAGAAACTACAAAATGCATTGTGTAGTCAGTTGTCTGAGGTGATTGACAGCCATCATTCTGTCTCAGGTATTCACACTCAGGAAGAGAAACAGCTGTCAGTACATTTGAGCATTTGAGCAGTGCCTGGCATGTAGAAGGTCCTGGATTACATTCTCAGCCTCTCAAAACAAAATAGAAGTGAAAAATCTGTCAGGGCTATACATGTGGCTCAGTAGTTAAGAGCACTAGCTGATCATGCCAAGGGTCCAACTTCTATTCCCAGCACCCACATCCAACATCTCACAACCATCTGTAACTCTGGTTACAGGAAATCTAGCGTCTGCTCTCTGTGGGTACTGCACTTACATGCACAAACCCTCACACAGATACACACGTACACACATAAAATTTTCTTTCTAAAAGAAGTAATCACTAACTTGGACCCCAGTTCCTACAGGAAGAGATGAAAGCAAAATACTCTAGTTTCAAGAGCCAAAACATGCCATGAATAGGAAATGGTGAGGCATAATTTCACGGTTCAATGACAATGTAGAGAACCCAAGTACATGAAAAGTCCCCCAAATGTGTGTGCGTAGGTCTGTGATAAACTGATGCTTCAGAAATATTCAGGTTGCTCATGAACCTGGATACAAAAAGGAGAATTTTAATCTAGTGCAAACAGGTTGATGTCCTAGTAGCTGGAAAACCCTTCAAGATTTTCTTCAAATAAATACAGCAGTACTGTTAGAATTTGCACTGGGTTAGAAACAAAACTCTTTTGCTCACAAAGTTTGAGCATCATGTCCTCAATATCAAGATTAAATGGGTTGGAGATCTGTGCATGTCATCTATAGCAAACTTGAGGCAGAATAAACTGACATTAGGGTCTGTGAGATGGCTCCAAATGAGTTGGAACTTGCCACCAAGCCTGATAACCTGTAATTCATCCCTAAAACTCATGGTAGAAAGAGAAAGCTGACTGCCACAAGTTGTCCTTTGATGTACATATATATTTTGTGGCTCATATACACAGTCACCTCAAATTTAATAATATGGGGGAATTGAAAAGGGAGCTGCAGGGATGGTTCTGTGGGAAAAGCATACCCTAAAAACCAGAGTTTGGATTCCCCACATCTGTGTAAATGCCAGGCTGTGGTAAAGCCCTTCGTAGTCCCTACTTGCAGAAGGCAGAGACAAGGGATCCATGGAGCAAGCTGGCCAGCTAAACTAGTCAAGTCAAAGAGCTGGGTTCAAGTGAGAGGTCCTGCCTCAAAGTGAAGAACTATCAAGAAGACACCCAATATCCACCTCTGGCCTCCCTATTCACACACATATCCACACATATGCATCTATACACATATGGGCACTCACACACATGCAAATACATGCATACACACTATAACACACACACACACACACACACACACACACACACACACACACACACACACACACACACAATTTGATAGTTTTTAATCAGGATAGAAACCCAAGGAACCACTGGACATTCTCTAGTATCATGGAAACACATAGTATGAAGGCCTGAAGTCTCAGCGTTTCCTCCCAGGGACCATTTAATAGAACTAAACCCATTATTGATCATCAGAGAAGCCAAATGGGTAGCTCAATCAATACTCACCTTGTAGTAATTCAGTAGAGTTCCTAAAACTGGCAGAGGTTTGGGCCCAGGAATTCCCTGTTTCTTAAAAACATCATGTTTATGGGTCATGAATCTATAGAGTGAAATAGAAAGCCTTGTGACCACACATACAGAAGATGGGAGATAAACATGACCAAAACCAAAAAAATGAAACAAACCAACAACTTGACTTCCCCTCCTTAGGGAATGGGTGAAGGGTCCAGTATGCAAGCCCATTGCTCAGATCTATTTCTACTGAGTTCTGATGTATCTAGGGGTAACCTGAAAGTCAGGTCACACACGAGTAATTCTTATCAGTAAATGTGCTATCTCACAAGAGGGACGTGTGTGTGTGTGTGTTGTGTGTGTGTGTGTGTGTGTGTGTGTTGTGTGTGTGGTGTGTGTGCACGCCCAGCAGATCTGCATACATCAATATGAACTATGAAAGTTAGTATAACTGGGGCTATAGCTCAGTAGCAAAGTGCTTGCTTAGCACACACAGGCTCCTTGTTTGATCCCTCATTCTGCAAAGAAAAAAAATGCAAAGGAACTCAGTTGTCATTTCATTTATGGTCTTTAAGATGATTCTACAGCTAAAGGCACTGCTGCCAATGTTGATAGTCTGAGCATTACCCAGGACCCACATGATAGCAGAGAAGTGACTCCCAAAAGGTGTCTTGTGACCTACACACAGACACAGACACAGACACAGACACACACACACACACACACACACACACACACACACACACACACACAGAGAGAGAGAGAGTCTCACGTGCTGCCCCTAGCTCCAAATTTAAAACATGTAATTTAAAAATGTTTACAGAGTTAATTTCAACTTCTGCTATGACTTTCAAACTTTTATTCTAGTGCCTGTGGATGGCATCAGATCCCCTGGAACTGTAGATACAGATGATTGTGAGCCACATGTGGGTGGTGGGACTCTAACCCGGGTCCTGTAGAAGAGCAGCCAGTGCTCTTAACCACTGAGCCACCTCTCCAGCCCCTGCTTCTGATATCGTTTGTGACCTTCCAGACATTTCCAGAACATAGGTCTGAGTATAACCCCAATCCAATGACACAGTGTGGGAGGGACTTGGTGGTTACTCACCTGTATAGGAGCAGCAGACTGATGGCCAGGAGGGCCCAGGTTTCCAGGGACAGAACTGAAGTCAGGTCCATCGTTGCTTCTCTGTCAGCAATGTACCCTTGTGTTCTCCTTCCAGCTGTGTGTGCTACCCTTTGCAGGGCTTTCCTTCTTGTCAATGGTGCTGAAGTGTGCCCAGTCTGCACGTTTATAATCTGGGAAGATGGGTGGTTCAGGGCTCCAGCCAATGGAAGGATCATTCTGCATCTTCTGGACTTTGATATTCTCTTCCCCTTGACAGATGATAAAATTCATGAAGTCCCTCTTTTGACCTCCTGTGAGTTTATAGTCTGTGTGGAATCAATACACAATGTGATCATTTCAGTAAGATCAAAGGTTCTTTTTAATTTTTTTAATCAAAAATTCAAGCAAACTCACTGACATATGATGTCCTCTCATTGTTGCTGGCTTCGTCCCAAAATACATGAAATAAATCTGAAATTTTACCATCTGTATCCAGATCTTTACAGAATATCTTTGACCCTCCCTGAAAGGTACTTTATTGTTTTTCATAACACAGCTCATCAAAAAAAAAAAATGTCCCTTTGCATCTCTCACCTATGCGCCTAACAAATATAGTCATTTCTTCCATGGCATGACTCCCACACATGCCTTGTCTCCACCCCTTTATCCCACCACTGAAGCTCTGCTATTCATCACCTTACTATATAGTAGGAATATTCTGGGCATTAGTCATAGCTCTGTAATAGAGTGGCCAATCAAAGCAATCAAGTTGAGTTGGGAGAGGTGGCTGAGTCTGTTCCAATGGAGTAGTCACTCAGCATTGTTCAATGAGGTCGTGTTTTACAAAGGGAGGAAGTGAGGCTCAAGCCTGCAAGTGGCCCCTGACAGCTATGGGTCACAACAAAAGAGTGTATAGAGTGTATAGAAAGCTAATATGAAGTGGTGTGTGTGTGTTTTAAAATCCTTCTGATCGGTTGCTATCAGACCTTTTTTGGAGCGATGAAACTGTTCTAAAACTCACCGACTGTGTAGGTTTGTAGAATCATATAGAACCTGAAAAGTTTCTGCACCTTGATAAGCCTCTGCAGATGTGCAGAGAAAGGTGTATTCCCACATTGCCATGGGCTGGTGGGGGAAGGGCAGCCCCTTCCGTGGAACTTTCAGATGAAAATTTTCTGCACCCTGGCAAGCCTGTCAATGCAGCAATCCAAATTAGACCATATCAAACCAAACTAGAAAAAGCCAACGTTTAATGGATACAATTCTCCCAGATGGCCTTCCAGTCCCCCCAACCCCCAGAGAGACTGGAAAACCTCAAGTCTGTTTTCTGGGGAACAGTTTAAATGTCCTGTGGGAGTGGTCTTGAGCATTTTTGGAGGAGAGGCCGTAATTTGGTCAGCTTTCTGAGATGCAGCAGAGTTTGGAGGGAGATAGGGGAGGGGGCTTGGGTGGAGCTTCCACTATAATAGTCCAGACTCTTTGGGTATATGCCAGGTGCTGGGGTGAACCTTCCACCATAACAGAACCATATTTAAAATCACTGAAAATTACAATGTGAATGGATAAACCAAGCAGTTTGTGAATTATGCATAGCATTATATTCGATGCATTGTTTAAAGTTTTTATTTGTATTTTAGACCATTGATGTTTGTTTGATTGTATCTTGAGGAAAAAAAGAAAATTTAGGAGTAGTGATAAGAATCAGATGATAGATGGTGAGTGAGATTACTCAGTGGGTAAAGGTGTTTGCTACAAAACCTCATGACCTGAGTTTGACCCACATGGTAGAAGGAGAGTATCAACTCTTACAGAATGTCTTCTGTCCTCTACATGTGTATCATAGCAGAGTTAGACACACACACACACAATGCATTTAATAGAAAAAAATTTAAAATAGAACCAAGACATTGTATTCTGTCTGTTATTTCCCTTTTGGAGAAAGACCATCTACAAGTGTTAAAACATGTACATGTCCTACACTGACTGTTCTGCCCAGACGCTGAACACCCCCAAACCACCAAGAGACTGGATCGGATGCAAAAGCAGAGTCTTTCTAATTTAGGTGGTTAACTGGGGTCCTCTGTCCAGCCAACACAACAGGTGGAGTAGAAGGGACCCTGAATAGCAGTGGGGCAGGGCATATAGAGGGAGTAAAGTAAGGGGGTGTCTGAGGGTCTGCTAGTTGCATAGTAACAGTCTCAGGATTGGCGCAACTCTGGGCTGGTGGGACTGTCCTGAGTTGATTGATCAGCGTAGTTGCAGAAAGGTTGCTATGCCTGGAGGCCATCCCAGGGCTGTTGCTACACCCTGCATTCTACTATTATCAGTGAAGTACACCCAGAGCCTGCCAGCTAGGGCAAGGTCAGGGGAGGCTCAGCACATCTTTCTGAGTCCTACATCTTGCTGGGTCTTTTCTGCAGCCTGTCATGGCTGCCAAAGCAGAGGGCTGGGTGAGTTAAAAAAAAAAAAAAGCAATTACAGTTCTTGATTGTGCTGAGTGTTGAACAGCAGGACAGAAATGGGAGTGAACAGTAGGCATCAACACAGGCTGGGCTGTCCAACACTTTCACATCCATATCAAATGAATCACCAAAGTCAGCCAGGTGCAGACTCCATGTGAGGTGATTTGAATGAATGCCCTCCACATGTCTTGGGCACTTTAATATTTGGTACTCAATTGGTGGTTGTTTGTCACTGGGGCAAGCTTAGAGGTTTCAAAAGATGTGTGTCATCCCAAGCTAGCTCTCTTTGCTTCCTGTTCCATGGATGGAGATGAGTTCCCAGCTACTGCTCTAGTACCACACCTGCTTGCCTGCTGCCATGGTCCCCTTTGTGATGGTGATGGACTCTTCCATAAGCTCCAAATAAACCCTTCCTTCTTAAGTTGCCTTTGTCATGGTGTTTGATTCCAGCAACAGAGAAGTAACTAAGATGCTACACATACATTAGGCACACCCAATACAAATCCAGGACACCGAAGTTCAGATGAAAGATTCTGCTGTCGATGTAAATGTCATCTCCAATGGATATGTAACACGTTTCCTTCATCACGCCTGTTTTGACTGGAGTATATGTTCAAAGACCTCACAGGAGAATGAGTTTCATAAATAAGAAATTGAAAAATGTGGCTGGAGAGATGGTTCCGCAGTTAAGGACACTTGCTGCTCTTCCAGAGGACCTGGATTTGGTTCCTAGCATTCATGTTGGGCCACTCACAACTGTCTGTAACTCTAGCTTCAGGGGATCTGACACAGTCTTCCAGCCTCAGTGGATGCCTGCATTCACACATTCATGTGTACACACAGGGGGGGGGGAGAGGGGAGAAAAAAGGAGTGGGGAGAGGGGAGAGGAGGGGAAGGAGGGAGGGAGAGAGCTGAACCACATCTCCAGCCCCCAATATAACTTTTTTCACCTCATGCACTACACCTGCTGAGGAAGTCTTAGATGTGCTGATCTAATTGGATGTCAGTGCGGGCATTTTCAGTGGGACTGCACTCTCTGCCAGTTGTCCATGTTTCCCAATCGTCTGCCTTAGATCTTTCTGCAAACTGCTCCCACAGGCTTAAAGTGTCCTCTGTGGACTCCAGAACATTCTTGGAAGTAAAGTCCCCCAGGAAAATGACAGGTGAAGTTTCCAGGTTGGAAGAGAGAACCTTGTTTAGCTCTAGCAAATTGGAGTCAAAAGGAGCAGGAACTAGCTTGCAGGAACCTCCAACATCAGCTCGAGTACAACCTGACCTTCCTCATTAGTTCTTTGCAAAGGTGTGGTGCTGGCCGTGCTTCACCATTGCTGTGATAAAACATTCTACCCAGAAGCATCTTGGAGAGGGACAGGTTTATCTGACTTCCAGGCCACAGTCCATCCCTGAGGGAAGCCAGGGCAGGAGCCATGGAGGAGCACTGCTTGCTGACTTGTTCTCTGGCTGCTGGTTTGCAGGCTCACACTTACCTAGCTCTCTTATACAGCCCAAGACCACCTGGATAGGAATAATGGCATCCAAAGTGAGCTGGGTGCCCCAGCATCAATTAGTAACCAAGGCAACATCCCACAGGCTTCCCAGAGATCAGTCTGATCTAGGAAACACCTCAATTGAAGCTTTCCTCTCTGCAGATGACTTGAGTATGTCTCAAGGTGACAATTGAAGCTAACCAGGCCACATGGTCAAGGCATGGGCCACCATTAGTTTCATCCAAAACAGATCTTTAAAGTGAGACTATACATTCATTCAGTAAATAGTCTCAAAACCCAGAGGGTAACCGGGTTATTGAGAAGAAATTGTAATAGCCCCACCCCAGATCCACCACTCAATCTTTTGAGAGAGAGAAAAAAAGAGATACCATAAGAGAGGGAGCCATTATGGGTTTGAAGAGAAAACTGACTCTAGAGAAATGTTCAGAGCAGACCTACAAGGATGACCCCAACTGACAAACTGGAAAGGCTACCTTAAATGCCCTTCCCTGATAATGAGATTGATGACTACCATATCTGCCATCATAGAGCCCTCATCTAGTAGCTGATGGAAACAGAAGCAGACACAGCTAAATACTGAGCTGAACTGGAATCCAGTTGCAGAGATGGAGAAGTGATAAGAAAAGGGATCAAGACCAGGCTACAGAAATCCACAGAGACAGCTGACCTGCATAAGGGGGAGCTCACGGAGCCCCAGACTGATAGCTGGGAAATCAGCATTGGATTGACCCTGGGCAGTCTAAGGGACCTCTGACAGTGGAACCAGGATGTATCTTTGGTGCACAAAAGGGCTTTGGGAGCACATTCCCCACGGAGGGATACTCCCTTAGCCTAGAGGCAGGAGGGAGGGCCTAGACCCTACTCCAAATGACTGGGCAGATTTTGATGATCCCTCTTGGAAGGCATCATCCTCCCTGTGGAGTGGGGTAGTGGTGGGATGGGGTGAAAGGGAACTGGGATCGATATGTAAAATAAGAAAAAATAATAAATATATGTATAAAGACTTTAAAATTTTATTTATGTGTATTAGTGTGTGTGTGTGTGTGTGTGTGTGTGTGTGTGATGCTGTTCCCCACAGAGGTCAGAAGAGGGCATCACATTCCCCGCAGTTGTGAGCCATGGGAAGCAGATGTTGGGAACCAAACCTGGAGCCTCTAGAAGAGAAGCAAGTGATGTTAATCTCATAGGCCGCTCCATCT